AAACATCTTACTGATCAAAACCTTTTGACTAGTAGTGTATTAACACAATTTCTAAAGTGCCTAAATAAATGTGTACAATATATTTGTTGAAAAAGTCTCATACACTATTGAATTATTAGGCTGTTACTCATATTACTTTTGTGTTGCTGTCTGCTCTAGCTCCCTCCCTCCCTGTACAATAAATCCATGTGACTATCTGTCTCTGCTAAATTTTTTAATGTAACTTTGCCATCGATATTGATGTCTTTTAGCACAGCATTCTGAATGATGATAATAATGGGGTGCTACTGATAGCCTAAAAGATACTAGTTTAATACTCAACTAGGTTAATAAAGACAAAACTATCTAGCGTATTTACAGATACGAACAAGCCCTGAACAGGTCAGTGATGTTGTTACATTTCACTGCTTCTGGCCGCTTCCTCTCTTTCAACGAGTCCCGAGCATCGGTTCTGTTTGGAACCGTTTGACGGATGCGCGGAACACGCGTCAGCCGATTCCTATAGCGCAGCGCTGACCGTCTAGACCAGGGGTGGCGAACGTCGGTCCTGGAGAGCCGCAGCCCTGCAGAGTGTTGCGTCAACCCTAATCAAACACACCTGAACAAGCTAATCAATGTCTGAAGGGTTACTAGAAAGCTACAGGCAGGTGAGTTTTAATTAGGGTTGGAGCTGAACTCTGCAGGGCTGCGGCTCTCCAGGACCGGAGTTCGCCACCGCTGGTCTAGACTCTAGACTAACCGATGTATGATTTATTATCAAATGAAAAAATTGGAAATGATCACTTCGGTACATTGAGAAGGCATAAATATAAAATATGAATAATAATAATAACAAAAAAAAACAGGGCAGCGGGCCAAATCAGCCGAATTCTCCCGGTGCTCCTGATGGCCAATCCGGGCCTGGCTATGCCTAATATAAAATAACAAATAACTTACATAAAGTTTAAATAGGTATACAAAACTGGAAATAAGTAAACATGTAACCTATAATATATAACCAAATAAATAAGAAATGTAGAACGTTTACATTTACATTTAGTCATTTAGCAGACGCTTTTATCCAAAGCGACTTACAAATGAGGACAATAAAAGCAGTCAAAACTAACAAAAGAGCAATATAAGTGCAAATGACAAGTCTCGGTTAGCCCCTGAGATGCCATTTTCCAATAGGGTTGACAGGAGAATCTGGTGGTTCACCGTATCAAAAGCAGCAGACAGATCCAGCAAAATAAGTATAGAAGATTTGGAAGCCGCTCTTGCGAGTCTTAGGGCTTCAACAACTGAAAGCAAGGCAGTCTCTGTCAAATGTCCACTTCTGAACCCAGATTGGTTGCTGTCCAGGAGGTTGTTCTGTGTGAGAAAGGCTGAGACTTTATTTTAAAGTTTATTAGCAAAACGAATAAGAAATCTTGGAGGCATGGTATAGGCCTACATCTTGATGTCAAATAAAATAAATAAATTACACAAAGTTTAATTAAAGTCAAAATCAGCAAACACTATGGAACCAATTAAATAAGAAACGAATGTTTAAAAAAACTTCCAAAATCACCTTAGATAAACGGCAAAAGTCAACAGGCTTTTCAAAATCCAAAATACTGCCAAACGCGCTTTTGCATTTCGTTTCGAAACTATATAATCCGCGGTCGTCTTGTCTGTCTCACCCCACTCTTCTTGTCAGTCAGTCAGCTCGACTCACTCTCCTCACTGGATAAATGAAATCTGATCTGTGATGCGACTGTCGTTATCGGCACGCTGCATTGAGCAGCCGCGGTCAGTTTTTAATTGTATTGTCTGTTCTTTTACTGAACTAAATTTTTATTACTATAAAAAAAATCAAAACGACGGTGGGGGTCGGTGCGGCGGTGGGCAAGTGACGTAACCGGTGTTGCGGCTTAACAACGGTATCACCGTCTATCGTGGCAAGTCCAGTGTTGTTTTGGACCCGAATTACTTTTATTTCATTGTTTTTGTCCATACATTCTTCAAAATATCTTAACGATCTGTTCCACAATCTGTCATACAGGTCTGGAGCAACAAGAGAGTGAGTAAATTAAGACAGAATGCTTTATTTTTGGGTCAACTATCCTTTCAATACTGTGTAAAGTATACAGGGAACCTTCTAACTTGGTTTATTATGAAAATGTTCATTTTAAAAATTAACAACAGGGCACAAACTACGCTGTTGATTCATAATTATTACATTTATGTATTTGGCACTTGTTATAGGGTCCCCACAGGTCCATAAAAATTCTTAAAATGCCTTAAATTTGGGTTTATCTAATTTAAGGCCATAGAAAAGGTGTAACAAAAGTCTTATCTTGTCTCTTTTAAAAGGTTTTACGTATAAACTTAATTACAATCCTTTCTAATGTGATTATTAAACTTCAAAAGGGTTGCGCAGAAATAAAATATTAGTTAAAACATTAATTATAAAATGTAAATATTATAAATTGTAATTATGATGGGTTGTGCAAAAATATAAAATATTAGTTAAAACATTAATTATAATTATAAAATATATTATAAATTATAATTAATTATATAGATTTTCTGTTATCAGCACAATAATCCATTTATTGCCTTTATTTAAACATGTTATTACCATGAGCAAAATTCAATGTTGATCAACCTCTAATTCATAAGTATTGGTTTATATTTATATGAACCAATTTTAGTACATACTGTATATAAATATTGAATAAAACATGTCTTGAGTATTTTAAACTTGCAGTTACCCTGTTTTGCAGTTGTGAATGTGTGTCCTAGCATGTTTAAGTAAAATAATTTGAGATACATGTAGGGACATACAGTATGGTTTTCAGTGCATATGCAGTTCTTAAAGTGCCTTGAATTTGATTTTAAAAACCAGTCCCTCCAGGATTTCACGGTACTTTTTTTTCAGATTTTTGCGGCCTAAAATGACTGCTGCGGCTTTTCTCAAAATTTGCAGCATTTCTTATTGTTTTGCAGTGAAAATATACCACAGACAACATTCTTCTAATATTATAATTTTTCTGACTTTGAGAACCATTGTAGGGCTCTAGACTAACATTTGAGGACACCAGCACCAGAGCTGTTAAGTTCTACAGAAAGTGGCACCAGCTCCTGACAGTAAAGCACTCACCCCAATCACACATCTCGGAGATGTCTATTTGATGTCTGCATTTACATGTGCAAGATGTATTTTTAGAGTGTTTGCTCATCTGCAATACGTCTCTACGATGTTTCCTGTCAGATGTCAAACAGACATTTATTAGAATGCATTCTGAGATGTTTATCAGATTACACAGCAGATGTTTCCCAGATCTTTAGCAGACGTCTTACAGATGTACTTGTGCTGTCTGGGTAGTTGATATGCAGATAAAATTAACTTTTATTACCATCATTCATAATGTCTAAATATAATTTAATGAATACAAAAAATATATATTAGGGAGTGGAAATGGCTAATAAGCCTATAAGCGCTTCTCTGCAGCCATCTACTAGTGGTAATTTAATGTCTTTTTTTATTTTTAAATAAGTGTTTGCTTTCCAACATTATGAAAATTTTAGTTTTATAAATGGTGGCAACCTATGAAGGATGAACAAATAATGTCATCACATTAAAAATAACTTTCAAATTCGGTCTCAGATAAACGGTAAATTTCAGATAAACGGTCTGCACTGCGTAGCCCAAACGACTAGCGCGGATTCGTTCTGCTTTCGGTTCGTTTGTCCAATGTAGCTCTTGTAAATTGGTCATGATGAGAACGCAAGGCTGTTCATTCCATTTTTGGAACTGAGAAACAACCTTTCTTTGACTGAATGTTTGTTGCGATGACATCATGGGACGCGTCTAAGCCCAAAATCTGCGGCAATTACGAAAGTTTGCGAGCTCTTGTGAAAATTGCGGAGTTTGCTTGATTTTGCGATAAATTCAGCGATCGCAGAATCACAAAATCCTGGAGGGACTGAAAAACCCTGCAGATACCCTGTGTTATGATAAGTGACTTATATTGCATTCAAGGTATACGTTTTATTGGTTCATGCATTTCCTGGCAATCAATATTTATTTAACAGATATAATATAATAGATATAATAAGATATATAATCATCTCAACCAATAACTGCTCTGTCAATACCAACAGAAGTAAATGTTAAAGTGCATTTCGTGTTTCACAGAATTCAATGAAAATTATTGTAAAGCTTCTCTATGAAAATATGAATTACACCACAGAGTCTTATCTACACACACTCCACATTGTGACCCATCACATCCTCAATTTATAGGCCGTTTGAACCTCACTGGCATCCTGTAAGTGTGTTTTGTAGATGTATAGCCCATACTAGTGTACCGTCTCTTTTGCCAGATCCTTGTGCTTCATCATCAGTCTCCAATTGGGAGCTGCACTACTTACTACTAGAACTTCCTGTTAGAACAACAGACAGGCCCGCAGGGCCGAAATCCGACAGATACAGAGTCGTCGTCTCCCTCATTACCTGCTCTGTGTGTGAAAAGATGTTTCTCTCAAGGGAAGGGGGTAAAGAGATTTGCCTTTGAAGAACAAAAAGAACACTATGGGCTGTAGGAGGAATGTTTTCATTATGCAAAGAGGACAGAACAGAAACAAGTGTTTTCGAGCCTCTGATGGTGTTCAAGAGATGCTGCTTTCAGATGCGAGTATGCAAAGCAAAACTGGGATGCTGCTGCATATTTAAAGACATGACGCTCTTTGGATCTTCTCTTGTCTGTGAGTGTTGCATAACAGAACGACTGGGTTAGAAGCCTGTCTAACCCTTGGTGTAGCATACAGAGAGATATTATGAGTCCGATGAGATCTACTTCCATTAGCTCCTGCTGCAGATACTTTAATGTGTGTTTTTAATGCAATGCAAGGGCCCTGCCATGTTTGTGTCCATGCTGCGTTTATTGGAACATATTGTGCAGGATCTTGGAACCATTAGAGATGTGAATCAGTGATGTGTGTTGCTCTAACATGTGCCCCATGTGTGTTTTCAGACTTGATCCACTGCACCAATGAGATGAATGTGAACGTGCCCCAGTTGGCCGACACTCTGTTTGAAAGAACCACCAACAGCAGCTGGGTTGTGGTCTTCAAAGCGCTCATCACCACACACCACCTAATGATGTATGGAAATGAGGTGAGAGATTCTGCACTGGTGCTTCATACTTTTTTTTTTTTTTTTGGCCCATATCAGACACCCTTCTGTGCTGTTACTGTTGAAGATCAACAGCTTGGTCAAATTGACCCTACATGACAAATCACACCTCAGCACTCACATTTTTGCTGTTTGTGACCAAGCTTGTATGACACATGGTGACAGTAAAAATTATTCTGAATATGCTGATTTGGTGCCCAAGAATCATATGTTATTATTATCGGTGTTGCTGTGATGCGTTATTTTCAGGATTCTTTGAGGAATAAAAAGTTCAGCATTTACTTGAAATGGAAGTCTTTTGTAACATTATATGTCATTACTGCTACTTATTATAATTTTAATCCTTTTTAAATCAGATTTAAATCGGATGCAGATCCACTTTCTGATTTGAGCCACGTTTTACTATGTCAGATTATCCTGTTTTGGTACATAAATAACTTAATATATTTGTTTTCATTCTTAGTTTTTGTATTACATAGTCATGGTGGACTAGTAGACAAAATATTTAACTGCTGTTGAACATTTCTGTAGATAATTTAATGTATTTTGAAACTGCAGTGAAAAACACTAACAAGCATGTTCTGTTAGTGTTGTAGTGGAGTTTGAAAGTGCACAGTTTATGTACAGCAACAAGAATTAGATGGTTCTACACAGGCACAAACACAGTCCACTAATGATTAACAGTGGGTAGGTGAGAATATGACACACACACACACACACACAGACACACACACAATGTGACCTAGATGTGCACATGGACCCCTTAATGTATTGCTCCTACATGAGCTCCTCTAGAAACGCACACACGTTTATCTAGCTACAGTATCTAAATGAGGACGTACCAAATACTTGTTCTCTTTCTATGTAAAACTAAAAATTTCTCTAAAGGACATTTTGTCAGTTTAGATAACTTTAACTTGAAGTTAATTCAGCTCTAAGAGATTAAATTCCGTGAAGGATTCGTCTGCTTGATTCAGATCAAAAACTCATGAGTCACTTGCGTGATACTTTCAAAGAATTGACTCAGGGTCATTTATTTGTGAAGTGGACTACACCATTCACACTATATGTTTGTTTTTAAGTGCAGCCAGTGAAGAAAACAAGTCTTTTTTTTCTAGTTTTAAAATCTATTGTATCGTACCATTGTTCTTTCACAGTACACAGTCCTTTTTATCTCATCAGGTTCAATTTAGTCTGCAAGCTCACAACTCGGGTAAAATATAATTACATTTTCTGTGGCGTTGTAGATTCTGCAGGAAACGGTGGCACACGCACACACACAAAAACAATGGCAGCGCTAGTGACTCTCACACGCGTCCTTGATCATTCACTTGGGCTATAAAATAAAAAGTCCTTCACTATATGTCCTGAGCTCGCCAGTGTCAGAGATAGATAAAGCGTGCAGGACTGTCCTTCAGCACACCCTGTTTTGCGGCATGACGGGGCACTAATCAGTCAGGGGTGGTTTTTGTTATCGGAGCTGAACGTCTGGTCCGGGTCGAGTCTGGTCTTAATCCTTTACCCCGTTATGGCTTGAAAAACACACGTTTGGTTATCACTGTCTGTTGAGGAGCAGAGACGTTTGTCTTGTCAGCAGTAGCCCTGTGAGAGGGCACAGAAAAGGCCACAGATAAGGTGTTGTTGATAAGGACGTTTCCACATGCATTTGCGCAAATAGGAGACAAAAAGGGCGATGTCACTCACTGATGGCCCAGATGCAGAACGCACAATTTGCTGTAGTGACGTCACTGGAAGTGTATGTTGTGTAGGGTTAAGATAGAGAGAAGAGTGGGTTTAAGAAACATCTGGGTTAAGATAACTTTAAGGATAAGGACCTTTACGAGAGAGAGAGAGAGAAAGGCAAGGGTCAGAAAGAGAATGAGTTGGAATTTTAATCAGCTGGTTCATGTGGGGTCACACAGTGGACAAATTGATTAACCTTGTATGGGGACACCACTGCCCCTGCTGTCCATCTAGAACGGTTCATTTTGGATACAGAGGGAAGACTGAGTGGGCGAGCGAGCTAATACTTGAGATAGAGAGAGTCTCTGTGTGTGTGAAAGGGAAGTTCATTGGATCAGGTTAGCGCTGGAGGCTCAGATAAAGTTTTGTTTAATAAAGATAGATAACCCCCTGCTGATTGTATTTAAAGAGACTTGCCTCAGTCTGCTGGAAAATGTAAGAACTTATGTCTTTTTGGCTTCGTCCTCATTAACTTCTCTGTCAATACTATTTGAGTTGAATAGCGCACAGACAAAACAAACACTTGTTCATATTCAGAAAACACTGGCCAGAAGATTGAATGAAATTAAGATTGAATGGGATGTAAATATTGTAGAATTTTTGTCCCTTTAAAAGTTGCATCTTTATTTTTAATAATCGCTGGGATCAGATCATATATACACAATGCTGAATAGGAAAGTCCAGAATTACACACAAGTTCTTAATTTCATATGAAGGTCCACCACTATGCTCCTCATGCCAGAGTCCAGTATCTCTTTTCGACTATTCGGATGTTTTGCTGGACATTGTTGTCGGGGGAGCTTTGGCGCTGATCAAGCGCTTCAGGACGCGCAGACGGGGGAAGCGAGCCGGCGCGCTCGTGAAGCTCAGACATCGTGGATTCCGGACGCCTTTGCCTAGCATCCATCTGGCGAACCTCCGCTCTTTACCCAACAAAACAGACGAACTCCTTCTGCTCTCCCGGACAAATAAGGATTTTTCTAACTCTGCTGCTCTGTGTTTCACGGAAACCTGGCTGAAAGACGCCATTCCGGACAGCGCGTTGAGTCTGCCGGGTTTTCATCTGTTCAGAGCGGACCACGATGCAGAATCAACGGCGAAATCACGCGGCGGCGGGACATGCTTTTACATCAATGAGAGGTGGTGTACAGATGTAACTGTGTTAAAGAAGATGTGCTGTTCAGATCTAGAAGTGCTCTTCATTAACTGCAAGCCGTTCTATTCGCCGCGGGAGTTTTGCTCGTTCATTCTCGTCAGTGTCTACATTCCTCCGCAAGCACACGTGAGCACCGCTTTACAACAACTCGCTGATCTGATCAC